GAACTGAAAGTTACTCCAAAATCATGTCCGTAAGTATGTTTACTGAAAGGCCTTTTCTGGAACTGATGGTAACATGAGTTTCAGTTATTTGGTCTACCAAGAAGGTTGGGGCCAGTGTTTCGAAACAATTGGATCTCTTTATCCTAGAGGTTTACCTCATCACTAGCCCCGAAAATGAATCTTCATTAGACAGTTGATTTTTAATTGATGACTAATTATCCATGGCTGAATTTCTTCCCTTTCGTGGAACTGTTATACGATACTGGATTTTGATCGGGAAAATTGCAAATATTCTATTTATTTATGAAGTTGGATTACTTTGTCTCAATTTATTTAACGATCAGTTTATTCTTGCCCAAATGAATCTGTTTCCACTTTCCATGCCTATCGGGTGCTTCTTCTTCTATCTAGAGCTTTAACCTGTCTTTCTCTTGCTTACAAGTTCTGGATTCGAGTCCCGCCAAGTATCCTGCTTAAAATCTCGATGTGAGGAGTTGAAATACGGTGAACCATAAAGGTATTACGAAAAGGCCTCATTTCTTACTGCTAATGCATGGTGTTCGATCCAGCTTAAATGAACCGAAAGGGAATCAGAACGAATGAAATTGTGACCCATTAGTATTAATTAAGAATCGCTTTAAAATACTAGCGAATGGGATGGAGAGAAGCAATTGCTACGGCACGAACGAAGCATTTAAGAGTGATGCGAAATTTCTGGTGGTCACCAAGAATGCCTGATTTTACCAGTGCCCTCTTGCCCATACATGATGATCTATTCAGCACTGCCTCATTCTCATCATCAGCATCATCGTAAGTCAACTGATGGCCTCCAGACCTGAGAGTCTTAGCGAAATTCGGTTTACGTCAAAACATGATAAGACGTACGAAATCGTTCTTGCTGGTCATGCTTCCTCTTTGTCTTCTTTTACTTGTTGAAGCTGGCTTCATGTATATCCATCCCCATTGCGGATTCGCCTAAAGACAAAAAGTCTGTATTCCGCTTGCACTCTTAGCCCTTGACATTTTGCCTTCTTGGGTTGATCAGATAAAGATACGGCCCTTTTAGACTAGTTACTGGTACAACTGGACGCCAAGTTGTTTCCAATTGCATTATTGTTACCTTTCTAGTTTTTCGTCTGTTGAGATTTGACGATGCCAACAAGATGCATCAATTTCAGCTGGCACCCTTTGCATTCGTTGCTGACACC